GAATCAGCCACAGTTTGTTATGATCCACACAGTCACACACCTTTGCATAATCAATGAAACACAGATATACATTCCTCTGGTATTCCCTGCTTTCAGCTAATACCCATCTAACATCAGTTACAATATCCCTAGTACCACGACCCCCTCTAAACCCAGCCTGGACTTCTAGCAGTTCTCTGCTGATGTGTTGTTCCAGGTGTTTTTGGATAATCTTCAGTAGAATCTTGCTTGCATGTGAAATCAATGATATTGTTCTATAGTTTCCACACTCGGTTGGGTCACCTTTCTTTGAAATGGGAACAAATATATAGATCTCTTCCAGTCGGTTGGCCAAGTGGTTGTTCTCCAGATTTCTTGGCACAACTTGGTGAGCACATCCAGGGCAGCATCTGTTAGCTGAAATATGTCAATTGGTATACCATCTATGTCTGGGGCCTTATTTTTTGCTATTTCCTTTAATGCAGATTGAACTTCTTCCTTCATCACCATATTATATTCATTAACTTCTTCTGGGTCTGCTAGTTCCTTTTGATACAGTGACTCAGTATATTATATTCATTAACTTCTTCTGTGTCTGCCAGTTCCTTTTGATACAGTGACTCAGTATATTCTTTCCATCTTAGTGATATTAATAATCATTAGGATAATTGATTTTTGATATTGTATTAATTCTTGTTTTTATAATTGCTATATGTAATGTAAAATTCATAGTTTCTATTTCCTTATTCTAGTCAGATCACTCAACTGCATACTCATGAACTCCATTGATTCTAGGGCCAAATTGTGAGAATTAGTACTTGAAGGAGTCATCTGAGTTCATGTTACTACTGCCCTTGGGACTACATGCTCTCTTCCAGAGAACTAGCTCTCTATCTGAAGCAGAATGAACTGATACATCAAGGACACAGACTTGGGATCCAAGAAAGACCCAAAGGCATCTGCAGCTAAGACACGTAGGCTATTTGGCCCCAAGCCATAATTGTTTAGATGTAGACTTACAGGGCTGCCACAGAAGCATCCTACCCACCTTATGGGAGGGACCACCTCATTTTGCTGTCTCATGCCCTCACCTCATCTTCAACTCCTAGATGGTGTCTGTCCCTCCCCTGGAACTCTAGTTCAGGATCTCTGGGTTTCCCCATGAAGTGCCCTTGCAGGTGATGTTTCTCCAAGTGGTAATGTACTCTTGTGCTTTCTTTCACACTGCCACGATGAATAAACTATCTTAATATCTCACCTGTGTCTGTGTGAGAGCATTTTTTTTTTTTGTTGTGTACCGTTGAGTCAGATCCAGCTGGCACAGGAGGAGATTGCCCTCCTTCTTCTGTGGAGCAGATGGTGGATTAAAACTGTGCACCTTCAGGATTGAAGGGCAGCTTCTTGCCACAAGGCCACCAGAGCTTCCTTGTGAGAACATTATTAACTTTTTTTATCTCAATCTGCTAACTTAAGTGGCCCCCTAAATAAGTAGCTCCTTAATGCTACAGGTTTGTGCTCAACTTCTAACCAAAAGGTTGGTAGTTCAAACTCACCCCGCAGTGCTATGGATAAAAGGCCTGGCAATCTCCTTCCTTAAAGATGACAGCTAAGAAGTCCATGTGGAGCAGTTCTGTTCTGTTACATGTGATATCACCAAGTTGCAATTGACTCAAAGGCACCATGTTTGCTTTGGTTACTCACAAACATTAGGTCAAACTTTTGACCCTTCTATCCTTTCTCAAGAATATGAATAATTATTATTTTTTTTAAAAAAGAATCCACAATGTTCTAAACTTCTCAGTTCACACATAAGAAAATCTTAGTGGTGGTGACAGTTAAATGCTGGGTTAGAGGTTTTAACCATTCTTTGGGAGAACAAGGCAGCCTGTTCCTGTAATGATTTACAGCCTTGGAAACACCATGAGGCAGATCTACTCTGTCCTACAGGGTCCATATGAGTCAAGACCGACTCCATGGCAGGTTTATAAGGGCACTTGTATCAAACGACAGTCTCCAGGCATTCACTCTGGAACTGCTTTTCCTGGAAACATCCGTTTCTCTCATACATCCTTGTACTCAGATTATTTTGTCCCTCTGGCATGTTCTCCTCCCGCATTATTTTTTCTGACAAATATCCTCTTCCTTCAAGGCTCAAGCAGAACATCCTCAGCAAGGACATCCCCTGAGTGCAGTCAACCAGTGTGCCCTCCCGGCTGAGCAAAGCATGCCTGATAAAGCACAGCCATCTATCTGTTCACAGTAATCTATCTGTTCTTCAGGGTAGAGCCTGTGTTTCCCTCAACTAAGTATCTCTAGAGACTAGCATAGTATGTGGCATCTGGCAAATGTTTGTTGGATGGATGAATGGAGTGATTGAGATAGATAAAACTTAGGGACTGTTACTAGGCAGCCATGCCTTCTGCCAAAGTTATGGTATTTATCAGTCTTTCTAATTTCTTCCAGGATCTGACTTTGGAACTTACATGCTTACTTTTTTAATGTAGAATCAGAAATGCAGTAAAATAATCTGCAGCAATAAAATCTAGCTTCCTCTCTGCAGATGGACAGTTTACTTCTCTACGTGAGCCTGATTAGTCTAATGTATGGAAAGGTTATATGGAAATAAAAAACTTTCATAATTGCTCAAGAAAATCTGCATTTACATTCATTTCCCAGGTAATGAACAAAATCTGTTACTGTGTTTGTAGATCAGTGAGAACAGGTGCATACAGTTCTTACTTAGCCTCACATTCAGTACAAGAATAAGTTCAAGGCATTTTTAATACATTTACTGTAAGGGTTGGTTCATTAGTTACAAAGCAGAGCTTCAACCCATTTCTTCCTGGTCAATTATAGCCAGGAAGCTCAAAGAAGGTGACTGTGTTCAAAGATGCTAGCAAATTGGCTGCATTACTTTGAATGAATGTGGTTCTCTATTCAACTCACTGTCATTGTCTTGGAACTGACTCAGAGCTGACCGTATAGCAGATTTTGGGTGTTTTTGAGATTAAAGTGCATGGGAGGATAGAGATTATCTTTCTCCTTCAGAACTGCTGGTGGATTTGAACCACCACAAAGGTGCTATCTTTGGATGAACACTCCACCTCCCACGCTGTACACCAGAGCTCCCCAGTTATGCAAGGATTCAACCCATAATTTTCCTCATATTCGTAACTGTGGCAAGTTACTCACATTGTAAAAATTCAGGTCTGTCCCTGTTTTGCATCACACTGGCCATGACAGAACAGATTCCAAGTCTGTAAGCCAGATGATCACAATCCAAATTCCATCTGTTGAGTCATCTCAAAGGCACTACCAGCTCTAAGGTACTAACTATAAACTTGAGTCCATTTTGCCACTTAAAGGAAAACATCTCCATTTAGTTTTAAAACTCCCCCTACTGGACCTATAGGCACCATCATGATTAATGGAAAAAAAAGGATTCACAATCAACATCCATGATAATGAGTCATGAAGTCAAAAGACCTGTTACATTAGGGAAGTGTGCTGTCAAGGACCTCTCCAATGTTCTAAAGAGCAAGAATGTCAGTTTACACATTAAGCTGCCCCTGATCCAAGCCATGATACTTTCAATTGTTTCCTATGCATGTCAACGTTGGACAATAACTAAAGACAAAAGAAGAATCAATGCTTTTGAATTGTGATGCTGGTGAAGGGTACATCCAATGGACTATCAAAAGAACAAACAAATCTGTCTTGAAGGAAGTACAATCAGAGTGGTCTCTAGAGATAAGGATTGTGAAACATAGTCTCACTTACTTTAGGCATATTTTGAGGAGGAATCAGTTCTTTTTCTCTTTCTTTTTTTTTTTTTTAAAGAATCAGTTCTTAGTAAGAGATATCATGCTGGGAAAGGAAGGAGGTCAGCGAAAGACAGGAAGACCCTCAACAAGTTGGACTTACACAGTGACTACCACAGTGGGTTTGAGCATGACAGAGGTCGCCAGGATGACACAGGACAGAGCAAGGTTCAGATCTGCTGTTCGCTGGGTCACTGCAAGTTCTAGTCAACCTGATGACACCTAACAAAAACAACTAGCTGAACGAAGCGCAGAATACATATCAAAATAAAGCAGGCAACTCCCAGTAGTTCTGTGGCTTCCCTTTAAACGTGAACCCTGAATATTTACCTGTTTCTCTAATTGGAAATTCTTTTCCAGCACTAGAAGCATATGATCCCGCAATGCTGAGTGCTCATGCTCCTTCAGGTTGCCCCGTTTACCCTTCAATGAGGAGAGAAAAATAAATTAGGTTGTTGAAAGGCTTCCAAACTGAAAGGGGGTGAGATAATCTGCTACAACAGAACACTAACAATTGCATTTACTTCAACAGGGCACACATTCATCTCTCTCAATGTATGCTATGGGGAAAACGATGTCTTCCTCCAAGTCTCGCGTCAGCTTTGGGCTTCTACAGTACTATGAGATATTACATAGATTTACAAACCAGGCTGCTCCTTGGAGGCAAGGATTCTGGGGCTTCGTCTGACATACTTTGGACATGTTGTAAGGAGAGACAGGTCTTTATAAAGGGTCATCATGCTGGGCAGAGAAGAGGGACAGCGCAGGAGGGGAAGACCCTCTATGAGGTGGATTGATTCAGTGACTGGAGTGACTGGGGTGGGTGTGTCAGAGGTAGTGAGACTGGCACAGGACAGAGCAGGGTTTAGCGCTGTTGTACATAGGGTCGCTATGAGTCACAGGCAACTCAATGACGCATAACAACAACAAAAACAACAATGATGACATCCCTTCAAGGAGATAAATTTTTATGAGAATCATTGAAATATAATGATAATTTTCTTTTTTTTATAATTACTTTTTATTGCAGCTGTATACTCCCAGAGCAGAAAAGGAAATCAGCTCAAAGAAATTTTAATAGTGACCTTGTTATGTGCCGTCAAGTCATTTGTGACTCATAGCGACCCTATGTACAACAGCCCTAAACTGTGCTCTAACCTGTGCCAATCTCATTGCCTCTGACACACCCATCCCGATTACCCCAGTCACTGAATCAATCCACCTCATAGAGGGTCTTCCCCTCCTGCGCTGTCCCTCCACCCTCCCAAGCATGACATTCCTTGCCAAGGACTGGTCCCTCCTTGCAACATGTCCAAAGTATGTCAGACGAAGCCTCAGGATCCTTGTCTCCAAGAGCAGCCCAGTTTAACTGTCTCCAGGATGAACCTGTTCATTTTCTTAGCAGTCCATGGTATATTCAATACTCCTCTCCAGCCCCACAGCTCAAAGGCATCGATTCTCCTTCTATCCTCCCTAGTCATTGTTCAGTTTTCTGATACATAGCAAGTGATAGCAAAGACCATGGCCTGTATCAGGTGCAACTTAGTCTCCAGAGTGACACCATTGCTCTTCAGTTCTCTGGAGAGGTCCCTATCAGCAGAATTTCCTATTGCAATATGCCTTTTCATTTCCTGGCTGCTGGTGCCAAGAATATTGACTGTGGAGCAAAGCAAACTAAAGCTGTTAACAATCTCATTCTCTTCACCATCCATCCTGATGCTGCCTATTGGCCCAGTGGTGAGGTGCTGTGATGACTCTTAGCATTCTGTGAACAACAAATCTGACCCGTGTCCGTTTCTGTGCCCTCATCGTCATCTCTGACGTGCGTGAACCCATTGTTACAGTCACTGTGTCAGTCTATCTTGTTGAGGGCCTTCCATTCTTACTCTGGCCCTCCACTTTTCCAAGCATAATGTCTTATCAAGGACTGATTCCTTCTAGCAATATGCCCAAAGTATATGAGATGAAGTTTCACCAAGTTTGCATCCAAACAGCACTTTCCTCATGTTAAGTTGTTTGTTCTTTTGGCAGTTTATGGGATACTTAGTACTCTTCCCCAAAATCATAATGCAAAGGCATTATGATTCTTCTTCTGTTATCCTTACTCATTGTTCAACTTTTAGATGCATTGTAAGTAATTAAAAAGACCATAGCTTGGATCAGGTGTACCTTAGTCTTTAAAACTGACATCACTGCTGTTTAACACTTTGGAGAGGTCCTTAACAGCAGACTTCCCAATGCAATGCATCTTTTGTTTTCTTGACAGCTGGTACCAAAGATTGTGGATCCAAGTAGGATGAAATCACTGACAACTTCAATCTTCTCTCCATCTATCATGACGTGGCCTATATTTAATATCCTGCAACTTATTTATTCACTTAACACAAATTAAACATCTTTCTAGTATCATCATCGAGAGATAGACCTGATTCTTTTCCTATGTCCATTCTTTTTGTCAGATGTACAGTATTCCAAAACATGAAATAAAAATTACCTAGTCAGTTCTGAAGTAATATCTCAGCGACTGTTTTTAGTTTTTTGTATTTTTTTTGCTACATGCTATTGTGTACTGTTGAGTTGGAACCAACCCATTGCTGACCCTCCAGCAGCTTTTCAGAGGCAGTTAATCCCACGGGAAGAAATTGCCCATCCTTCTCTTGTGGAGCAGCTGGTGGATTTGAACCACATGCATACACACTACTATAATAAATAACTTTGTGTATATGTTTGCATATAAAGAAATGATGTTAAATAGAACAGAGTTCAGGACTTTTGTTCATAGGGTCACTATGAGTCATATTCGACCTGACAACACTTAACCACTGCTAAGTAATACCGTTGTTGTTGTTGTTATGTGTCGTCAAGTCGCTTGCGACTCATAGCGACCCTATGTACAACAGCCCTAAACTCCGCTCTGTCCTGTGCCAATCGCACTGTCTCTGACACTCCCATCCCAATTATCCCAGTCACTGAATCAATCCACCTCATAGAGGGCCTTCCTCTCCTGTGCTGTCCCTCCACCCTCCCAAGCATGATGTCCTTCTCTAAGGACCGGTCTCTCCTCACAACATGTCCAAAGTATGTTAGATGGAGCCTCAGAATCCTTGCCTCCAAGGAGCCACCCGGTTTAACCCCTTCCAGGACAAATCTGTTTGTTTTCCTAGCAGTCCATGGTATTCTCAGTACTCTTCTCCAGCACCACAGCTCAAAGGCATCAATTCTCCTTCTATCCTCCTTGGTCATTGTCCAACTCTCTGATGCATAACATGTGATTGGGAAGACCATAGCCTGTATCAGATGCACCTTAGTCTCCAGAGAGACACCATTGCTCTTCAGTACTTTGGAGAGGTCCCTAACAGCAGACTTTCCCATGGCAATATGTCTTTTAATTTCCTGGCTGCTGTTGCCAAGACTGTTGACTGTGGAGCCAAGCAAACTAAAGCTGTGTACAATCTCAGTCTCTGCACCATCCATCCTGATACTGCCAATTGGTCCAGTGGTGAGAATCTTTGTCTTCTTGACATTGAGCCTCAATCCGTATTGTAGGCTGCAGTCCTTGACACTCTGCAGCAGGCGCTTCAGGTTCTCTTCAGTTTCAGCAAGCAGGGTTGTGTTATCCGCATAACGCAGATCGTTGATAAATCGTCCACCAATCTTGACTCCACATTTCTCCTCATAGAGCCCAGCTTCCTGGATAATCTGTTCTGCATATAGGTTGAAAAGGTATGGAGATAGGATGCATCCCTGGCGTACGCCCTTCCCAATTTTGAACCATGCAAGTAATACTAGTGTTATTATATTTGGAGAAATATTCTTCTACTCTGTACATCACTCTTTGCCAATTTGCTGTACTGAGGTAATCCAGGTTTGTTGTGATGCTGAACCTTGTGCCATTAGGGTGCGAAATGCCATAACAGTTTCCCAATGTGGACAGTGTTTGGTGAGCTCCCTGTTGTAAAACAGGTTTGGAAGTAGGAGTGGCATCCACTTCCTAAACCACATGCCCCAGGAAACACTATGAACTTGGAGAAAAGACGATTGTTATAGAAAGGCGTTAGGTCTTTTGTTCATGGAGTCACTATGATTCATACTCATCTTGATGGCAATCAACAACAACAACAACAACAGGCATCTATGATCATATACTGATAACTAGATGTATGAGATAAACTCTGAGTAATGAAGCTGCAAGTGCATGCGTGAGTCTGCTCTTTATTTTCATAGCTATAGCCAGCCTTCCTTTAAAAAAGTTGCATATTAAAATAAAACATTTTTAATCTTTATCATTTTGATGGTGAAGATTATCACCACTTAGAGGAACATGTTTCCTGTTAATTGAATTTTTTTCCTCTGGAACTGTCTATATGTTCTGTTGTGTTTTTTTCTATTAGGTTGAATAATGTATAAGAACATTCTGATATAAAGAAAAACAGTCCTTTTTGTTGTTGCAACAATATACTCCCCACCTCTGCTTGTGGTTTGCCATCCAACTTTATTTGCGGTATTTTACAACATCATTCATGGTTACTGGTGCCACTAAGTTGGCTTCCACTCACACAGACCCCATGTGGCAGAGCAGAACTGCCCCACAGCGTGTTTCAGGTTGTAGTCTCTTATGGGAGCAGGTCTTCTTATGGAGCGACTGGGTGGGTTCAGCCCATCAATCAACCTTTTGGATAGCAGACAAGTCCTTAACCAGGGCTTTAAAAAAAAAAATCATATAGAACCTTTTATTATTTATGGCTAAGCATACAAAAAGTACAACTTCTTGGCTTTGTCTTAGCTGTTTTAGAAAGGTTTTTATTTCAAGAATAAAAACAAAACTCTTATTTTCTTATAGTAACAGTCATATTTTTAATATAAACTTCTGAGTTTGGCATTACTTTGGGTTTAATGATAATACATGGTTGTTGTTGTTGTTAGATGTTGAGTGGGCTCTCACAGTGCTCTGTCCTCTGTGCCCATCTCTCAGTCCCCGCTGCACTGGAGCCCACTGTTGCAGTCACTGTGTCAATCCATCTTGTTGAGGATCTTCCTCTTTTCCTCTGACCCTACACTTTACCAAGTGTGATGTCCTTCTCCAAGGACTGGCCCCTCCAAAAGCACGAGAGCTAAAATCTCACCATCCTTGCTGCAAAGGAACATTCTGGCTGCATTTCCTCCAGTAGGTAAAACTCTGATCCATATCAAAGGACTTAGTGTTCAGGTCTTATTTTTTAAAAAATAATTTCTTGACTAATACTTTTACCTCATGCTTGGGAGGGTGGGGGGACAGCGCAGGAGAGGAAGGCCCTCTATGAGGTGGATTGATTCAGTGACTGGGATAATTGGGATGGGTGTGTCAGAGGCCATGCGATTGGCACAGGACAGAGCGGAGTTTAGGGCTGTTGTACATAGGGTCGCTATGAGTCGCAAGCAACTCGACGGCACATAACAACAACAATACTTTTACAAGTAGTTGAAAAGCAATAGGGTGTATTTTAAGGAGTTCTGGTAGTATAATGCTTAATGTGTCAGGCAGCTAACCCAAAAGGTCAATGGGTCAAATCTACCAACTGTTCCAAGAGAGAAAGATGCGTGGTCTCCTCCTGTAAAGATTTACAGTCTCAGAAACCAGCAGTGGCTCATACATCTTAAAAGAAGTTGTGTTTCAAAATGCTTGGTAATTGATCAGCTGAAGTACTATGAAGCCTGAGGGTTTGTACCCACAGGAGAAATAATTCCTCAAAGTCCCTGAAACTGGTAAAGGCAGTGTGCTCAGAAAGACAATTACTAGCCTTAAATTTCTCAGAATTATATGTTCTTCAGTAACCTGAACAGAATCAAAGTGTGAAAAGGACCTCTTCAAAAAAGTATAATGCAGAGGCAAAGGAAAACGCATTTCCTACCTTCACAGTACAGCCATAGTGCTTAAATGGACAGTCCTGCTCTGCTTCAGGGCACACAGCAAGGTGCTCATTCACCTGTGAAATGGACAGGCTCCGTCAACCATGGCAATTCATCACCAATTCTGCAACTGCTAGTGCAGCTGCAGGAGGCAGGGAGTGCCAAGGGTGCTTAGGAAAAAGAGAGGAAACTCCTTCCTAAGTCACCCTTGGCATCAGTGTAGGCATCGGGAAGGAGAAGACCTGTGCTGAGGCCTACTGGAGAAAAAGGGGAGGGGAAGAGAGGGGTGGGCAGGGGAGAGGGGAGGGGAGTGAAGAAGAGTAGGGAGGGAAGAGGGGAGGGGTGGGGGAAGGGAGGAGAGGAGAGGAAAGGGAAGAGGGTTGGGGGAAGGAAGTGGAGGAGAAAAAAACTGAGAGAAGTCAGCAGGGAAAGAGGAAGGTTATCCTCTGGTTATAATTTAAGCACTGGGCTCCTGCCTATGGGATTTTGTCAAACATGCACCACAATCACACTATCTTTGTTCAATCTGCAGAGCAGATTAATATTTAGAGTTACCTCAGTTCTTGGAATAATCTGTAAACACTTGTTGGGACAAGATATCGGGTACTCAGGACACAAATGTTCTTCATGCTTCTGAAACAAGGAAAGTGAGAAGCAAGTCAACCCTTGCTTGTGAGAGCTCTCTGTCATGGCCTTGCAGTGTTTACACAGGCCTCTGTCTCATGGGGGTTGTCTGGTAGGTGGTGTGCCCTCTACAGGAAGGTATGGCCAGTTCCAAAAAGAATGAAAGATGGCTGCTTTCTTGACATAACAATTCAACTGAAAAATTAAAATTTCCAATCAACCTCAAAGAAAACAAGATATCTAAAAACAGTAGCCTCTGAGACTGCTTAATGTACAAATCTTCAAGGGACTTGTCTCAGTGTGGAAGTTTCCTGAGATACACTAATCTGTCTAGTAGCATGTTCAGTGCCCCTGTTCTATCCACTTCCTAGTTCTATGCATAGCTCCTGGGGTCTAAAAAGCTAGAAGATGCCCGCCAAGGCAGAACAACTTGTCTGCCTACAGCAACAAAAGAAGAAGGAGAATCCGGAAGAGGAGGAGGAAACAGAGTATGAGACCAATTGTCTCCACGAACAGCTGCTTCCTTTGCCATGAGACCAGAACTAGATGGTGCCCAGTTACCTAATTGAACATTTTTCCTCAAAGATTCCATAGAAAAATCCTGATCAAGAGGGGGTAAATGGGGAACAGAATTTCAAATTCTCATTGCCTCCAGACTTTTGGGAGCCAAGGATGGTGGATGAACTCCTGAAACTACTGTCCTGAGTTAATTTTTAAACTTCAAACTCAAAATATCCTCTGTAATCTTCTTAAACACATAATGGTTTAATTTAAGCTAATTAAAAAAAAAAACCCAACCAAAAACCTCCCACCTTGAGCATTTCGCTTTTTTAGGAACTATCTGGCATCAAATTGATAGCAACAGGAAAGATTAAAAAGGAACCTGTGTGGGGGCTGGGGCAGTGAATCTGTGTGCATGGAAGAGGAATAACTCAAGAGGAGGGTGAAAATGGCTGTACAACTCGACAGTAATCACCATCATTGAGCAGACAGTATTGCACATGTAAAAACTGCTAACTTGGTGCATGTTCTGCTGCATGTACGCACAACAAAAAATATATATACACACATATGTGTGTGTGCGCAGCAAGGCCTCTTGGTGCATGTAGAAGAGATCCCATTCCTGTCTCTTGAGGTCTGTGCCCTGCCTCACCTGTTAGATGTCACACATCCTTAGAGGAGGCAGGCTCACCACGCTTGGTGGCCAAGACCTCGCATTACTCTTTACACATTGCATACAGCCTCAAATCATGCTTCTGCTGATGATCGAGTTCTGCCAATATGACAATTTTAAGCTTTACATAGGACCTCCCTCAGATAAACGTAATCTTTTTAAAAACTATGGTGAAGATATACATAATGGAACACACATCATCTCAACAATTTCCACATATACAATTCAGTGACACTGACGACATTCTTCAAGCTGTGCCATCGTGCTGGCCATCTTCTTCAAAATCAATAAACATATTTCTTAGACCAGATTCTGTAATGAAATGGGTCCAGAAAGGGGCTCCACCACAATCACTCACGCATACCGCGGCCCCATGGAGGAGTGTTATTCCTACCTGTAGGTTGAAGACCACCACACCCTTCTTGCAGTAAATGCATTTTTCCTCTCTAAATTGACAGTATGCACTCAGATGCTCTTGGAGATCTTTCCGCAGGACTTGTTCCTGACAGTTCTCATTAGAACACTGAACAGCTTGAAATAAGCACTGGAGAAGGTGTTCCTGCAACAGTGAAAATAGGCTGCATCACACAGTCAGCACGGAAGGCCTAGTGTGGAGAGAGGACAGGGCAGAAGAAGAGCTTGGCCCAGCAGCCTCTGTCTTCGGGTTCCTGTCTCAGGCTCCCTCGGCCTTCGCTGAGCAGCTTGCAAGAGCTACAGGCTGTGAGGGCGGCCCTTGTTTAATGGAAGTTGGGCTTAGGGTAAGATGAGTTATAAGGGAACCATGCTGAGTTCGTCTTAGATAATATCTTGTAATATGCTCATATTCTCTGCCTAGTTAGGCTTGCATGCTATCGTGGGTTATTCAATGTGGCTTATCTAAATATAGGCTATGACTATTCAATGTGGCTTTCTAGCTAGCCATTTGGCCACATGGCTGGGTTGTTTCTGTGCCATTCTGAGTAGGAACCAACTCATAGCTGACCCTCCAGCAGATTTTCAGAGGCAATAAATAAATCACAGGAGATGAGATTGTCCCTCATTCTCCCTCAGAACAGCTGGTGTATTCGAACCACATGTCTTTGGGATTACAGGGCAGCTTCTCACCACTTGGCCACCAGAACTTCCATCGATGGCAAGGTGGTTGTTGTTGTTATGTGCCGTTGAATCACTTGTGACTCATAGCGATTACCATGCACAACAGCTCTGAACTCTGTTCTATCTTGAGCCAACCTCACTGTCTCTGACACACCTACCCCCATTATCTCAGTTACTGATGAGTCAATTTCTCTCATCTAGGGTCTTCCTCTGGTATTTGTGGTCCCATTAAGGAAGTCAATACCTTGTTAATAATGTAAATAAAGTAAATAGCAACATGCACATAAGATGTGGACACTACTAATGAGACAGTCAGTTCTGCCATCCTGCCAGGCTCAAACTGAGCAAATTCAGGGGCAGAAAACAGGAATCTCACCACCATCAAGAAAGAGGCAGCAGAGAGCACAGTGTGTCCTTTTGGGATAGAGGTCCCCATGCAGGACAGGCAGAGATTGAGTCACAGCAGCAGCAAAGGCGGCGGACAACCCGACAAGGGTGGGGCAGATCTGACCTAGAACTTGCCACCGCGTGGTGCCAAAGCTGAGGGCCTCACCTGGGCTGACCAGCAGAGTGTGTACGCGTGTGTGCATGCGCTCATAACTAGCAGAACTAAAACAGCTCTGGGGTACTGACCCAGAGCAGCAAGACTGCAGGTCAGAGGGAGGTCTGCCTTTGAGCAAGACTGCAAAGACACTATCCTAACTGAAGAACTATGCCCTGAGTGTTTCCAACCTGATTTTTAACCTGTTAGTTTCTTACCAAATCCAATAATCCTGAGTATTTTCTGTGAGGGATTTATTATTATTATTTTTGTGTGTGTGTGTGGGCACTGCAACAAATTAGTCAGTCTAGTTGATGAAGAAGCTAGAGCCATGAGAGGGACTGTTGGTGTTAGAATCTGTAGAAGGTATGCTAGGATGGCACGTCTGGCCTCGAGGAATCGGCCTGTATTGTGGATGGGGACTTTTTGCCCAGGTGGGAAAGGTGGCACTCAGGTGCTGCCACCTCATGACGTTTAAACTGTTTACACAGGGGAACGCCAGG